GAGCTTGCCTTGCACACAACTGGCCCAAGTTCAATCCCCAGCACCCCCTACGGTCCTCCAAGCCCGCTGGGAGTGATCCCTGAGCCCAGAGCCCGGAGTAAGTCCTGAGCACAGCTGGGTGTAGGCCAAAAACAAAAGACCAAAAATCCGCTGCATGGAGGAAGGAAATGGCTTTCCGTGTTTCCGAGGAACACACTGCCCACGCAAGCTCCTCCGTGCTGTTTCGTATCCTCGGGAAGAGGCTGGCCAGGGGAACGGGCAGTAGGTCCAGTGCCTGGTATTTGCCTGGCACTGCGTGGTCCCCAGAGCACCGCTGGGTGTGACCCCAAAATAAAAATCCTCTTGAGAACACCTGCCTCAGAAAGCCAGGTCTGTGCCATGGGCTCCCGCCTGCAGGTGGCGACGCTGCCCCCAGCCGCCTCCCTTTCCTGGCCTTGTTCTCATTGAGTTTGTTTTACAAAAAGAAAAGCCCCCCCACCCACCCCCCTTTGGGGTGTACAGTTTTCATGCATCTTTTTGTTCATTCTTCTTGGGCCGCCTCTGGTGGTGCTCTGGGGCTACTCTCAGCTCTGTGCTCAGGGTCGCTCCACTGAGCAGTGTCCTTGACCCCAGTTTTCAAACTTACTTAAACAAACACATAGTTACTTAGCCCCACTACAGTCAAGAAACAAGACCTTGGGGCTGGAGTGATAGCACAGCAGGTAGGGCGTTTGCCTTGCACGCGGCCCGACCTGGGTTCGATTCCCAGCATCCCATATGGTCCCCCGCGCACTGCCAGGAGTAATTCCTGAGTGCATGAACCAGGAGTAACCCCTGTGCATCGCTGGGTGTGACCCAAAAAGCAAAAAAAGAAAAAGAAACAGAACCTTTCCAGGGGCCAGAGAGAGAGCACAGTGGGTAGGGTGCTGCCTCTGCACTTAAGCAAACTGAGTTTGTTCTCTGGCGCCCCGTGAGGTCCCCTGAGAACTGCCAGGACTGTCCCTGAGCACAGCCAGGCATAAACCCTGCACATCACCAGGTCTGACCCAAATAACTAAAAAGTACTCAACAGTTCCAGCACCCCGAAATGTCCCCTGCGTCTTTGTGGTCACTTCCTGCCCCTACCCTAGCCCCTGATATTTTCTGTCCCGTTGTTTCACTTCTTCCAGAATCGCACCCAAGTCTGTCATAAGTCCTGTCTCACCATTGGCCCGGGCCCGCTCTCCCGGTCTCATGTTGGAAGGCCCTCGGGGGCCCAGGGGGTCTCTCCAGGCTCATCCTGTTTCGGAGGCGGGGCCAGAGGCCATCTGATTGAAAACTAAATTTTCCCTCCCTTCAAGCCCATCTGGCCCCTGAGCACAGTAAGGCTGCTTCCCCACTCGTATTTGTTGGGCCACAACCTGCAGTACTCAGGGCTTCATCCTGGCTCTGCGCTGAGAGGTCACTCCTGGCTGGGTTCAGTGAACCACGTGGGGTGCTGGGGATTGAACCCACGTCAACCACCATCACGGCAGGTACCCAGCAGGCTATACCATCACACTCTCCGGTCCTCAACAACGCTGTCACCTACCTGCACTGTCATGGCCACTCTTCTGGCAGAGTGCTCGGGAGTCCAGGTGGTACAGAGACCAAACCCAGGGCTCCCACATACAGAGCCTGGCCCCCAGCCATCTCCCTCCCCCTCCATTTTTAGGGGAACCTCCAAGCATTGCTCAGGGCACCTCAGAACATCTCCCAGTGATACTTAGGCAACACCCAGCCAATTGGGTCAATGGTTTAAGGCTTCTCGGACTCAGGGATCAGACACTGGGGGACCTCCAGGGTCACTGATCTGCCAGTCCTTAGGGGGCCCGGCCGTGCAGGGGTGAAACTCAGCCTTGTGCATGCAAGGCACCGGCACCAGCCCTTTGCCCTGCCTGAAGAGCCCTGAGTCGTCATTTTCTGCAGGAGAGGGTGCGAGGCCCTCCTGTTGACTGCCCTGCCCTGTCTAAGCTGCAGCCCTGCTGAGCCAACACTGCAGCTGGGGCCTGCAGACGGGCCTGATCCTATTAATGCCTCTTGAGGTGACTCACAGGTTATTTGCTGGGGCTCAGACCTGGCCTGGCACCTTAGTACAGAAGGTTCTAAGCTCCTGAGCTGAGTGCCCAGTTTTCACTTCACTCTGGAGTGTTTTAACAACAGCAGACCTAAGGTCCCAGGCCAGGGAGCTTGTTCTCAGGGCCTGAGTTCAATTCCCAGCATCTCGAGTTCTCCTGCCCCCCAAGACCCATGGCAGCACCACCAAGTGTGAGCAGCATCTCTGGGTCCGGGCAGCACTGCCAGGCCTGATTTCCCCTGCAGAGACCCTACTAACAAAGCCCTGAGCCCTGGGGCAGGAAAGCCCAGTGAGCAGAGCACTTGCCCCATACACGGCCAACCCTGCCTCAACCCCCAGCACCACGTATGGTCCCCTGAGCACTTCCAGGAGTGACCCCTGAGCACAGAGCAAACTGCTGGATGTGACCCAAAAGCCAAAACACAAAGCCCTAAGGCCTGTCTTTTCATGTCACCCTTCCTGACACGTCTTTCAAAACCGAGGAAAGAGGGGCCAGGGCAATATTCAGCAGGGAGGATGCTTGCCTTGCACGTGGCCGACCCGGGTTCAATCCCAGCATCCCACACGCTCCCCCACCACTGCCAAGAGTAGTTCCTGAGTGCAGAGCCAAGAGGAACCCCTGAGCACCCTTGGGTCTCGCCCCCAGAATTTTTTTTTAAACTGAGAATCTGGGTGCGTAGTATATGACTGGTATGAGGCCCTGGGTCTCATCTCTGGCATCAGAATGAAACAAACACCAAATTATTAAAAGACAAAGGGAAATTGGCTGAGACGCTTGGAAGACACTCATTCACACCGACCCAAGGAGAGAATGAGACACCCAGTCCCTGCCCTGCTGGGCACTGCTGGTCAGTCTCCCACTGGGCACCCCAGAAAGCCAACACAGCTCCCCTTGCGTGACTCACAGGGGCCCTAACTCAACATTTCCTTGTAGGGCGGTGGGTGGCGGGGATCCATTGTAACCAGAGCAGGGCAGGGTGGGAGGAAGATTTCCTCTTAAAGCACAAACATCAGGGGCCAGAGAGACAGCACGGGGGGGTTGGGGCTCTTGTCTGGCACAGGGCTGGCCCCAGCTCGACCCCGGGCATCACCTAAAATCACTCAGGGACGCTCCCACATAGGAATCTAGTTGGCCTCTGGCTCAAACTCAAGCAAGTACTAAGACTGTGGAGGTTCTGTGGTCACTATTGTCATAAATGAGGCAGCAGGAGGGGCGGAGGGACACCCAACCGCCGGCACAGCTGTCCCTGCCACACGCTCAGGGGTCCTTCTGGTCAGTGAGGTCAGGCGTGGTGCGGTCATGTCCACGGCTAGAGCTGGAGACGGGATTCGACAGGACGTGCCGCAGGCGTGGGCCTTTGACGAAAGCATCACACAGTACCATTTGTAGTGTTTATTGTACAGCTGGGGCAGCGACCTCACACTGGCGGGTGCCAGGACCCTCGCCACAGGGCACTGCCCCTCACCATCCCACTGTGGACCAGGCCCAGGGTCTCAGAGACTCCAAAGGCAAATTGATTCAACTCGGGACCAAAGTCTGACAGGAGTCCAGACAACTTGGATCTAACGGGGGTATGATTCTGGAGAACCGGAAGCCCGGGCCACACCGGAGGTGACAGTCCCCACACCAGAAACCTGAGGGCTCATTCGTCCCTTCCCTGACAATGCTCTGTCTCGCTCTGTCTCTGTCTCTCTGAGTCTCTGTCTCTCTCTGTCTCTCTCATTCTCTTGCAGTTGCTAACTCTGCAGGTGGGCTGTCTCCCACATCTCCTTGAGTGCAGAGGCATCTGGAAAGGAGAAGGAAGGAGAGGTGGGGAGAAACAGCTTCACCCTCCGGTGGGCGTTTGATGTTTCCACATCCTCTGTCATGCCACCTGAGTGGGGGGTCCCTGCACCGATCAAAAGGCAAGCCCTGGTTCCCAAGGGTGGTCTTCTGCCCAAATGTTGCTCCTCTTCCACCAAAGGGCAGCCTGCCCACCCAGAACCCCTACAGGCCAGCCAAAGGAGCTGGGCCTTTAGGGGACAGGCTTTATAGAACTTTCCAGGAACACGGCTCTCTCAGCCTCTGGCTCACTCCTGGCTAAGGGACTGAAACACAAAAGTTGTGTGTGTGTGTGTGTGTGTGTGTGTGTGTGTGTGTGTGTGTGTGTGTAGTGGACGGGGTATATTGTGTGTGTGCGTGTGTGTGTGTGTGTGTGTGTAGGGGCAGGCCGCATCTCTTCAATTCTCCTGAACACCATCTCCGCCTCAGTGCCTTGGCATGTGCAGCACTGTCCCCACCTTCGGCCCCGCAGGACCATGGTCAACCTGTCAGTGTGGCTTGTTTTAATAACAATATGTGGCCTGACGCTGTTCAGGCTCCTGTGCCATGTTCCAAGTGACGCTGAATTTCAAACAAAACAGTTAGAGGCTGGCAATGGCCAACTTGTAAAAGAGGGGCAGCCGGGGGTTCTAGTGAATTCCCGCTGCCAGAGGGTCCTGGGCCCAGGGGGTCATCAGAGAGTCCCGGTCAGTCCATCCACATCCCGATAAGTTCTAGGGTGGGGGCCTTACAGGGGATCCACTTCTTTCTTTCTTTCTTTCTTTCTTTCTTTCTTTCTTTCTTTCTCTCTTTCTTTTTTATACTTTTTGGATCACACCCAGCAATGCTCCAGGGTTGCTCCCGGCTCTGCACTCAGGAATCACTCTGGCGGTGCTCGGGGGATCTTAGGGGATGCTGGGGCTCGAACCCGGGGTTGGCGACGTGCAAGGCAAGCGCCTTCCCCGCTGTGCTATCGCTCTGGCTCCCTCATTTACTTTCTGAGTCTTTCCAATGCTCTGAGGGGAGGAGACTTCCAAGTCTTTGGAGAGCAGAGCCCCCTCTGTGCCCTCACCAGCCAGCACCCGGCCCGGCTAGGGGAGTCTGGGCTGGAGGGCGGCCCCGCCGTCAGCCGGCCTCCGGGTCCGGGCCAGCGTCCTCGCCCGCGGCGTCCACTTGCTTGCCCTTGCCCAGCTGCTTCAGGCCCTGCAGGAAGGCCCGCCACGTGTCCGGCAGGCTCTGGGCCAGCAGCCAGCCCTCGCTCTCCGCCGCCGCGTCCTCGGCAGCGCCCTCCAGCGCCGTGTGCAGGTACTGCAGCCCCACCGTGATGGCCACCTGCGGGGAGGGAAGACTTAGCACCTGCGGGACCTTGCGTGGCCTCTGGGTGGGCGAGGACCGGCCCACCTGTCGCTGCAGTCGCCTCCCCTTCCACCCTGGGCTCCCGCCGCCCGGGCATCACTGCTCCCACGTTCACCCGCCCACCCAGCCTGGTGGGCGCGTCCTGTGCCCCCCCCCACCCCCACCCCTGCCCTTGGTCTGGAGTATATAGTGAGTTACTCAATACCCACTTGTTGGATGGAATTTAAAAGGTCATCTCCAGGGTCAGAGAGACCAGAAGGCATGCATTTGCCTGGCATGAGACCGACCTCAGTTCAATGCCCAGCATCCCCTGAGCTCCACCAGGAGTGACCCTGAGCACAGAGCCAAGAGGACCCCAGAGAGATAGTACAATCCCTGGCATGCTATATGGTTCAATCCTCCGAGCGCCACCTGGAGTGATTCCTGACTGCAGAGCCAGGAGTAAGCCCTGAGCATCACCAGGTGTGACCCCAAAACAAAACAAAATAATTATCAAGAAGGAAGGGAGGGAGGGAGAGAAGGAGGGAGGGAGGGAGAGAGGGAAGGAGAGAAAGAAAAGAAAAAGAAACAAGGAAAGGGAAGAAAGAAAGGAAAAGAAAAGAAACGAAAAGAAAAGAAAAGAGGGCACACACACACACTGGGATTGTATCACATCCTACTGCAAACCAAAACAACAGCACATTGTTCACGGTCCCAGTAGATGCAATCTGGGAACATTTTATAAAGAGGCCATGAAAGGTCCTCATAATTGACAAAGTTTCAGGGTTTTGTTATTGTTATTGCCGCTGAAAGTTTAATACTATTCAGTGGAAGAGCTCACCACCTCCAGTAAGACCTCCAGGTATGCATGATCCCACTCTGACCCCACCCACTCTCCTGAAGGAGACCCTTGCTGCACTTTATTTTACACTCGTCACAGTCCTGCCCAACTCTCAGGCATTCTGCCTTACAGAGCCCATGCCCTGTGTGCTGGTTCCCTCTGCAGCATTCGGGTTCAGGATGGAGATGCAGCTGCCGGACCCCATCTTCCCGCTGACTGCTGATACCCCCCTCTTTGTCAGGGACCTGAGGGGACGCGCTCTCTGGTCTGCTGGCTGGGAGCTCCCTCCTGCTATTGCCCCCTGCATTGGGTTCAACATCCCCAGAGGCTCTCGGTGCTGGACTGTCCTTTCCCGAGATAGTGCGTGTCCTCAGCCAAGGGGACCACACGGCGCCTCTTCTGAGGGCAGGGGAAGCCTCCCCGACCCAGTGATTCAGGAGGGACGTTTCCTGCTGCCGGCTCAAAGCCAGACCCCCTGTCCCCCGGGGTTAACCACTCCAAACCCACGACCATTTTCAGCACCTAGGACAGGGACTGCGCTGGGCGGGGCTTAAGGTAAGCGCCTCACTTGAGTAAAAGGCAGTTCTCTTGCTGACCTCGACCTGGAGGAGAGGAGAGGAAGTGGGAGAGGAAGGGAGCAGGGGGGAGGGGAGAAAGGGAAGAGAAAAGGAGAGGAGGGGATGGGAGGGGAGGAGGCAGGAGAGGAGGGGATGGAAGGAAGGGGAGGAGAAGGGAGAGGAAAGGGGAGTAGGGGACGGGAAGGACTGTTGGGGGAGGGGGGAACACTGCCTGGGGTGGCTCCAAAGCCAAAATGAATTAATTAAGAATTAATTTTAGGGGCTGGAGCGATACACAGCGAGTAGGGCGTTTGCCTTGCACACGGCCAACCCGAGTTCGATTCCCAGCATCCCATATGGTCCCCTGAGCACCGCCAGGAGTAACTCCTGAGTGCAGAGCCAGGATTAAGTAACCCCTGTGCAGCATCGCCAGGTGTGACCCAAAAAGCCAAAAGAAAATTAATTTTAGGGGCTGGAGCGATAGCACAGCAAGTAGGGCATTTGCCTTTCACATGGCTGACCCGGATTCGATTTCCAGCATCCCATATAGTCCCCCAAGCACTGCCAGGAGTAATTCCTGAGTGCAGAGCCAGGGGTAACCTCTGTGCATCTCCAGGTGTGACCCAAAAAGAAAAAAGGGGAAAAAAAGAATCAATTTGGAAATGGAGCTAGATAGGGCCAGAGTAACTGGATAAGACATTTACCTTGAAAAAGGCCATTCTGGGTTTGCCCATGGTACCCTGTATGGTGCCCTGAGCATCACCAGGTGTAGCCCAAAAAGCCAAAACAGAAAGAAAGAAAGAAAGAAATAAAGAAAGAAAGAAAGAAAGAAAGAAAGAGAATCATGCCGTGGGAAGGGCACTTACCTTACACGCAGCCAACCCAGTTTTAATCCCTGGAGCCCCATATGGTCTCCAAGCCCACCAGGAGTGATCCCTGAGTGCAGAGTGAGGCATAACCCCTGAGCACTGCAGGGTGCACCCCCCAGGGAAAAAAATACAAAAACAATGAAAAGGAGCCACTGGAAGGGCTGGCATGTAGCCCAGTGGTAGGCCGGTGCCTTCCTTGTCAAGGTCCTGGCTTTCACTCCCTGGCTCCCACGATGACAAAGGAAGCAGAGACATTTAAGTTCTGTGCACATGAACTCAACAGTCTAGGGCTAAAAAAGAGGAAAATAAACAAAATTCAAAAGTAGGGGGGAGTCACAGGGGCTTGTGTGGGGGCGTTGGGGTGAGGTGACATCACCACCATCACAGTCTCATCCCCTGCGCTGGAAGACAATCACAACGGGGCCAAAAGGGCCAGGCCAGGGCCAGTGTGACCCACAGCCTGTCCAGGGCTGGAGCCACTGGCCAGCAGACAGGGCCACAGGACTTACATGCGGACCCCTGAGTTCCATCCTCGGCATCCCTGCGGACAAAGCCAGGAGGAGCCCCTGAGCATCACCAGGTGTGACGCCTCCCCAAAAGAAGCGGAGTCCAGGGGACTGGAGCGATAGCACAGTGGGCAGGGCGTTTGCCTTGCACGCGGCCAACCCAGGTTCGATTCCCAGCATCCCATAGGGTCCCCTAGCACCACCAGGAGTGATTCCTGAGTGCAGAGCCAGGAGGAACCCCTGAGCATCACCCGGTGTGACCCAAAAAGCAGAAAGAAGAAGGAGGAGGAGGCGGAGGAGGAGGAGGAAGAGGAGGAAGGAGAAGGAGAGGAGGAGGAGGAGGAGGAAGAGGAGGAAGAAGGAGAAGGAGAGGAGGAGGAGGAGGAGGGTCCAGACCCACGTCCACCCCTTCATCCAGCCCCGCGCCCCCCGCCCGCCTACCTCCAGGAGCCAGACGCAGAGAGTGGCGGCGCCCATGGCGCTCATGAGACCCCCGTAGTAAGCCCCCAGCGCGGCTCGGCAGCCCGCCAGCCACACGTTCAGCTCCTCCGTGCGGTGGTCGTAGCTGTAGTGGGCCGAGTTGTTGGTGAGCTGCTGCTGGATGCAGGGCCGCGGTGAGCTGGGGTTGCAGCAGCTGAAGGGGACCCCGTCCACCAGGTACCGCCCGTCCACGTTGCTTTTGATGCGACTGCGGGAGAGGCAGAGGCCGAGGTCTCCCCCGCGCTGGGACCCCCAGACGCCCTTCCCTCGCCCGGCCCCGGCGATGTCCCCCCCACCCGGCCAGGCCGTCCTGGACCCCTACTCCGCGAAAGCGGGGACGGGCAGAAGGGAGAGGGGCTGGCCCGCAAGCTGGGCCGATGCCCCCCGCCGGGTCCTGGCAGGAGGAGCAGGGGGCGCCGAGCGGCCCCCACCCACCCCGGCAGAGCACCGTACAGCAGATCCGCCCCGCAGAGGTTTCCAGAAGCCCCACCCTGCCCCTGGGACCTGTGCAGAGGCCGGGGAGACAGCCGCAGGCAGCCCGGTGCTCTTTTAATTTTATTATAGTCACCGTGTGACTCGAATGGTTGGCACCGTAGGTGAGACAGTGCCGGGTTTCATGCCTCACACAGACCTGGAGCCCTTGCCTGAGAAATACAGCCTGTTCCCTGGGCCTCCAGGCTCGCTCTCAGTCTCTGTCTCTCCTCTCTGTCTCTCTGCCTCTCTGTCTCTCTGTCTCTGTCTCTCTTCTCTGTCTCTCTCTGCTTCTCTGTCTCTGTCTCTCTTCTCTGTCTCTCTGTATCTCTGTCTCCTTGTGTCTCTCTCCCTCTCTCTGTCTCTTTTCCTCTATCTCTGTCTCACTCTCCCTCTCTCTGTCTCTGTCTCTTTTCCCTGTCTCTCTCTGTCTCTATCTCTCTCCCTCTCTCTATCTCTCTGTCTCTGTCTCTCTCCCTCTCTCATTGTCTCACTCTCCCTCTCTCTCTCTCTCTCTGTCTGTCTCTCTTCTCGGTCTCGGTCTCTCTCTCTGTCTCTAGCTCTGTCTCTCTCTGTCTCTCTGCCTCTCTCTGTCTATCTCTCTCCCTCTCTCTGTCTCTCTCTCCCTCTCCCTTTCTCCCTCTCTCTCTCTCTCCACCTCTCCGTCTCTCTCTCTCCTCTCTTCCCCCCCTTCCCACACACTCTCTCTCTCACTTTCTTCTCTCTGTCTCTTTCTCTCTCTCTCTCTCTCTCTCTCTCTCTCTCTCTCTCTCTCTCTCTCTCTCTCTCTCTGAAACCAGGGCTTCTGGGCCGCAGCCACTGTTCTGCTGTGGAGTACATCAGACATACACCAACTTGGGTGCCACATTCAAAAGACCAGGGAGCTGGCTTAAAGGACCAAACGCGAACTTTCCATGCAGGAAGCCCTAGGTTTGGTCCAGTACCGCACGGAGTGCTCAGCACAGTCCAGCAGCCCTGAGTGGGACCCAAAAGCAAAAATCAAAACGGGATCTAAAAGTAACACCCTGGGGTCTGGGGGAGGCAGGGAGACCGCTCAGGGGGGAAGGCACATGCCCCGCTTGAGGCCACAGTGACCGGAGCCCAGCACCACTGATGGCCCCTGAATATGGCCAGGAGTGACCCCTGGGTAAAGAGGCAGGAATCGCCCCTTAGCATTGCTGGGTGTGGTCCAGAAAAGTAAACAAAGGGCCAGAGGGGCCAGAGAGAGAGTCCTGGGCCAGGCGCTCGCCTTGTGTGTGGCTGAGCCAGTTCCCCGGAGCACCCAGACACCCCTAAGGCATCCCCAGGTGGAGTCCCAGAGGCGCCAGCACAGCTGGGCTGGCCCGGGTCATCCTGGCACACCGTTGGGCCTTAAATTGAGTTGCCAGTGCATCTGGCTGAGACCCCCAAGAGGGGCCCCCTGAGAACCACCCAGGAGATTTCCCCTATGGTCCCCTCAGTCTGCCAGGAGACACCCCCGGGGACTGCTGTCCTGACAGTGAAAGAGGCTCCCTCTGGGGGTGCTCTGAGCACCCCTGCCCTGAGCACGTTCCCCAGTCTCTGTGTGTGGCCTCACTGCTGCTCTTCTGGGGGTCCAGGAAGGACCCAGCAGGTTCCATCCCAGCACCACACGCATAATCCCTGGGCTACTCTCATTCATGGAGGGAAGCCAGGCTGTGTCGGGGGGAGGGTTAAGGAGGCGATGAAGGGGGGTGTCCTCTATGAAGGGGGGTGTCCTCTCTGGGCACACTGGGGCCTGGCTCCTCACCATGGGGACAGGGGCAGGGCTGACCTTTGCAACCACTTAGATGGTTCTGCAGAGGAGGACATGGAGCAAGGCCAGCCCTCGGCACTGACCCCTCCCCCCAGGACACTCAGCACCTCCGGACCAGTCTGGGGGGATCCCCAGGGACAGTGGGGCACTCTCCCATTCTTATCCAGCAGAACTTCATGTCCTTTGTATCCCGTCCACTGTATCTCAGTGTTCCCAGACTTGGGGAGAGACCCCAGACCCCAACACAGCCACAGGGGCATCTGAAGCGACAGTTATGCCACTGAGTGGCCAGCGAGTCTCTGAATGTCTCCATCCCACTGACCTTCCTCATGGTCCATTCTCCACCTCACTTCGCAGTTCCACAGAGCTGGGCTGTGTCCCCTCAGACTGGGGCTCCCAAAGAACAAGGCTGTATCCCCTGAGAAAAGGCTCTGTCTCCCCCAGACTGGGGCTCCCCGAGGACAGGGCTGTGTTCCCTAAACTGGAACTCCACGAGACTAGGGCCGAGTCCCCTCAGACTGGGGTTCCCCAAGGACAGGGCTGTTGTCCCCCTAAGACTGAGAATAGAACTATATCCCTTCAGACTAGGGCTCCCTGAGAACAGGGGCGTGTCCCCTCGGACTGGAGCTTCCTGAGGACAGGACTATGTCTCCTCACCCTGGGTCTCTGGAGGAGGGGACTGTGACTCTCAGTCTGGGGCTCCCTGACGACAGGACTGTGTCCCCTCAGACTGGGCTCCCTGAGGACATGATGTGTCTCCTCAGACTGGGGCTCTGTGAGACAAGACTGTGTCCCCTCACACTGGGGCTCCTTGAGGACAGGACTCTATCCCCTCGCCTGGGGCTCTGTGAGACAGGATTGTGTGACTTCAGACTGGGGCTCCCTGGACAGAGCTGTGTCCTCAGACTGGGGCTCCCTGAGAACAGGGCTGTGTCCCCTCACACTAGGGCTCCCTGAGGACATGACTGTGTGCCCTCAGATTGGGGCTCCCTAAGACTGGGCTGTGGACCCTCAGTCTGGGGCTCCGTGAGACAGGGCTATGTCTCCTCACACTGGGGCTCCCTGAGAATAAGACTGTGTTCCCTCACTGAGGTCCCCGAGGAGAAGACTGTATCTCCTCAGACTGGGGCTCTCTGAGGACACGACTATGTCCCCTCAGACTGGGTCTCCCTGAGGACAGGATTGTGTACCCTCAGACCGGGTCTCTCGGAGGAGGAGACAGTGTCTCTTTGAACTGGGGCTCCCTGAGAACCCCAAGACTGTTCTCTCAGAGTGGGACTCCCTGAGAACGGGACTATCTCCTCACACTGGAACTTCCTGAGGACAAGGCTATGTCCCCTTGACTGAGGTTCCATGTGACCACGGCTGTGCTCCTTCAGACTTGAGCTCCCTGAGGTAGGGCCGTATTCCCTCAGACTGGTTCTCCCAGGATCCAGGGCTGTGTCCCCTCGAACCGGGGCTCCTGGAGGAAGGAACTGTGTCTTCTCAGACTAGGGTTCCCTGAGGACAGGGTTTTGTCCCCTCAGACGGGGGCTCCCTGAGGACTGGGCTGTCTTCTACACTGGGGCTTTCTGAGCAGGGGGCTATGTCCCCTCACACTGTCCCCTCCCCGCCAACCCAGATTCCCAGTGAGGTGCCTCCAGACTTTCTTCAGAGGAGCACAAGCCTGGCACTGGCTCTGTTGCAGATGCTCAGGACATGTCATCCTGTTCAATCTCCATCTAATCTGTCCAGCACCGATCATGTTTTCACAGGAGAAACTGGGGCAGCTCCCAGAAGATGAGAGGTTCTCAGTGTCACTCGTTGGGGACCCGCCTGTCCCGTCTTCCACACAGCAAGACTTTCTGAGCCGTCAGTTCATCTCTTGTTTGTTTCCAGGAAAGGGGGACCTGAGGCTTTCCCAAATCACATGGGGCATCGCTATGGGAGGGACAGAGTGGGCACCACTGAGACCCTTTGGGCCTGCCCTAGAGATTTGTAGCCTGAAGACATTCTGCCATAAATAGCTGCTCTCCCCTAAGGAGCTCTGCCACCAGCTTTGTCTAAGAAGGTGACGGAACCTTAATCTGGGCTTGTAATCAGGACAGTCCTGAGTAAACAGATGACATTTCTGGGGGCGGAGGGGGGGGGAGACAGAGCTACGTTGGAGTGTAGGACCCCAAGAGGGCCCAGGCTGGTGCCTAAGAAACTCTGACTTCCATTAGCCAGATCTGCATCCCTGTCCTCAGGGAGGCCCAGTCTGAGGGGACAGAACCCTGTCCTCAGGGAGGCCCAGTGTGAGGAGACTCAGTCTTGTCTCTTTTTTTGGGGGGGGGGGGTCACACCCAATGTCACTCAGGGGTTACTCCTGGCTCTGCACTCAGGAATTACTCCTAGCATTGCTCAGGATGGGATGTTGGGGATTGAACCTGAGTTAGCCGCATGCAAGACAAACGCCCTATTCACTGTACTATCGCTCCAGCCCCGAACATTAATCTTTATGTGTGAGAAATACATATATGTTGTGTGCATTAGGTATTTTATTTTTAATTTTGGTCTTGGTTTTTGGGCCACACCTGGCAGTGCCCAGGGCTTACTCCTGGCTCTGGTCTCTGGGATCACTCCTGGTAAGAGGTTGGGTACTTACTCATTGTACGATCTCTCTGGCCCTTCCTTATGTTCTGTTAATGCCTCTGGAAGTATTTACGGGTCAAAGGAAATAACACCCGGATTTACAATAAGACCCTCAAAGAGAGGCATTTGCCCTAGTGATAAAAGAGACCAGAGCAGGCTGGGCATTTGCCTCTCAGGCTGCTGGCCTGCGTTCAATTCCCGGCATCCCATAGGGTCCCACAAGCATTGCCAGGAATGATTCCTGAGTGCAGAGCCAGGAGTAACCCCTGATCATCACAGGATGTGACTCTCCCCGACAAAGAAAGAAGGAAAGAAAGAAAGAGAAAGAAAGAAAGAAAGGAAGGAAGAAA